TAATAATAATAATAATAATAATAATAATAATAATAATAATAATAATAATAATAATAATAATAATAGTAATAATAATAATAATAAAATATTATTTAAAATGAATGGATGAAACACAAAAAAAAAAAGAAAATTATTTCAGAGTTAAAATGAGAATTTTTTTTTTTTTTTTTAAATAAAATTTATAGATGTTGAATTTGTTTACTATTTAACTAAAAAAAATTTATAGACATTTTTTTTTTTTTTAAACAAAAAACTAAAAACAGATGCTTTTATTTTCATTTTTTTTTTTTTTAAATTTTTAATTAAATGACATTTTATTGTTTTCAATTTTTTTCGCCCCCTTTTTTTAAATAATTTATTAACTGAAACTTTAAAACCGACCTCCCCTTCCGCCCCAACCTCTTCGTTCGTACCGATGAGATAAAAACTTTGATTTTGTTTATTATATTTAACAAATATTAAATTATAGTGCTATAAAATGTAATAATATGGAGAATGAAAATAGTAAAATGGTGAGATTCGAATCGTCGGTAGAGGAGAGGGGCGGGAAGAGGAGGAAGAAGGGGAAGTGAAGAGGCGGATGTAAATAAACGGAAGAGAAATGAGGAAAAAACTAGAAAGGAAAACAAAAAAAGGTAAAAGAAAGAAAGAGAGAGAGAGTTGAAGAATTAGTAATTTAAAAAAAATTTTTTTTTTTTTGTCAAGAATACCTGAGTGAAACAAGTATTGAGTCTTCTCGTATAAAAAAAAATATTTTGAATAAGTTAAATAAAGAAAATGAGAGAGAGAGAGGAGGTAAAAGGAAATAATGAAGATCGTAAAGAAAAAAAAAAGGTCTTTTGTAAAATTCAAAAAAAAAAAATTTTCGTACTTCGGAAATGAAAAACAAAAATAAAATTTTTCATATTTCCGTCCCTCTCCCCCCACTACTTCCTCCTCCTTCTCCATCACGTTATTTATTTATAAAAAGGTAAGAGTGGAAAAAATAGTACGAGATAAATTAAAGGGTTTAAATTATAATAATAATAATAATAACGATTGGTTTTTATTATTAGTTTTCTTAAAACCGGATATACACTCCTTTTTTTTTTTGTTAATCTTACCTTTGGCAACTGGAGAAACGGCCATAAAATTTGATAAAGCAGCTCCTGTTCCGTGACCCATCATTGTTATACGATTTGGATCTCCATTAAATGCTGGAATATTTTCTCTTAGCCAATGAAGTCCAGCAACTAAATCCATGAGACCGAAATTTCCTTGAACGCTTCCACGTGCTCCAGTTTTTAAAAAACCTTTAATAATAAATCAATAATAAATATTATTTTCCATGAATTTCCAGAAAAAAAAAATTTTTTTTATTTATTAAGGGAAAAAGTTGAGGAGGTTGAAAATTGATACGCAAACGAACGTAAATTTTAATGTAAATAATAAAAAAAAATATTGAAACTTTTCGAAGTGGAATAAGAATAAAAAAAATCTTAT